AATAGGAATAGATTTGCTTCAATAAAAGATTAAAAGATACAGTTGTTGCCCTCACTGGTTTGGCTCAGTGGATAGAGCGTCAGCTTGCGGAATGAAGGGTCCCAGGTTCAATTCCAGTCAAAGGCATATACCTTGGTTACGAGCACATCCCCAGTAGGAGGTGTGCAAGAGGCAGCTGATCAATGTTTAAAAATCAATAAAATATATATTTTTAAAAAAGATACAGTTTCTAACCCACTTCTTTTTTTTTTAAGCCCAACCCCTTTTTCTTTAGGTTAAAGAAAAATAAGTAAAATGTTATCACTATGAATATTAAAAACATATTTCCAGCCCTAACCAGTTTGGCTCAGTGGCTAGAGAGTCCGCCTACAAACTGAAAGATCCCAGGTTTGATTCCGGTCAAGGGCATGTACCTAGGTTGCGGGTACATCCCCAGTAGGGGGTGTGCAGGAGGCAGCTGATCAATATTTCTCTCTCATCGATCTTTCTGACTCTCTATCCCTTTCCCTACCTCTCTGTAAAAAAAATCAATAAAATATATTATAAAAAAGAAAGAAAAAAAGACCACGAATCCTTAGACGAACAGGGCAATCACCAAACTTTGCCCACTTGGTTAATTTTTTTAAAAAAATAAAAAAATAAAAATGTATCAAAGCTTAATATGAGATGGTCCATACAAACGGTCCATACAACTGTGTTAACTGATCTGGTTACAAAAAAATACAAAAACCTATATGCTGAATATATTCTTTGAACCCTCTCTACACTGCTTGTTCTCTAATATAACTCTTTCCACTGGAGAATTTTAACCTGTCACTGAACAGCAATGACCTCACAACTTCCCACCTTAAACATCCTCACCAAACGCCAATACCTTCAGCACCATTAAAAGATGCAAGAGCAGAAGAGAGACAGCATCTCCTTCCTGACGAAGAACTCTTCTATTCTCCATTGAACCTCGCAAGGAGCCGATGAAATATGGAGAGTTGGAATCACCCCACTTTACAGATGAGACCCAAAAAGACCATCCTGATTGAGGCAAATTAGAGTACTATGGCTAGCACCCAGCCATCTGTCTCTCACACTTGGTCTCTTCCCATTAATAGGCTGCCTCAGAACAACTGTCACATCTAATCCCTAGCCTTGCCTTTCCTACGTGACAAAAGATTTCTACCCTTAAAAACAGGTCAGTGCCATCTGATGGGACAGAAACGTGCTGGGAAATGAAACAGAGAATAAAAGAGAATTAGGATTCTTTGTCATAATAGTTCCAAGAATTTTTTTAACCTGCTAATTTCATCACAGACACTAGGAACTATTTCTCTGCCATCAATCACCTTATGAAAATATATATATATATATATACACATTATGCCAAATTCCATCATAACAATAATTTCCAGATCTCATCGAGTGTGTCATAATGGAAGAGTAACTGGGGGGGCCACTAAGAAAACCTGCTATCAAGATTGCTTCATACAAATTTCTCCCACTCATTTCTACAAGGTTCTGTCTATGTTTATGAAGGAGCAGCCCAGCTTCCCAGAAACTGAATGAAAGGCCTGAAGGACTACAACATGAAGGAGGAAATTCCATGGAGAGGATCCCAGATAAGGTGTCCAAAAGGCAGGGCAAGGTCTTGCTCCCAATAAGCCAGTTGGATATTTGTCACGCCTGCTTTATTTTTGTCTTCCTGCTGTCTCCCCTCAGAGATTCATTTTTTGGATCACGATCTCTGGAGATACTCTAGTGAACCCTATAAATCTATCCCCCCAAAACTGTGCACCTATACAAAACAGTCTCCAGTTTTAGGACATCTTAGGCCTCTTGAGGCTCCCCTTGGGGGTTGATGACATGCAGTAATGTTAGAACCCCTATTTTAGGGTCATAGTTCATGCATACTCCGGCACCATCTAATAACAAATTCCTCATTAAGCACAATACAATCTCCATAATCTGCTAGGGAAAGGGCAAATATGTTTTGTTGTGTTTTTGTCTTAAGAGTTAATGAGAAAACCAGTGAAATACAGAGATACAGATGAAAAGGATTTCCCTATATGTGGCAAAGTCAAGGCTGCATGACATGTGGGAGGGATGGTGTTAAAGGTATGATACTGAAGGTCAAGCTAGCTGACCTAAAGGGTCCCTTCTAACCCAAGAGACTGAAGGACAGAAACTCCCCTTGGGGAAAGTCCACCCCAGGAAGTGACTGCTCTAAGGCCAAAGACACCAACCCCTGAGAGAACCCCCAACTTGTAATACAACTGGTTTCAGCCACTCCATATGGCAACTGTAACCAGGGCCTGCAGCCCAAAGCACTCAAACAGCAGCAGATATGGGAAGGGAGGCTGTGGGGAGAGACAGGCAGTACTGCGAGTTACAAAAGGCCACACATATACATCAGTCCTGCATGACTCCAGATCTTCTGTGAATGTCTTCAAAATGTTCAAACTATAGACCTTCCTATCTTATACTTTAAGAGCCTCAACTTTCAAAACCTGGAAGACATGCTTAACTGGGAGTTTCTATTACCTGCTAGGATTTTGAGATAGAAATTTCACTTCCTCATACTGAAGCCTCAAAAATGAATACTGAACCCACTGGTGGGAAGGAATGGTCAGTTTTTAGTTATTTTCTTCAGTGGAACAGTGACACCAATAGAGGTTGGGGAAATGTGACTACTTGCTACACAAGATCCAATGAAAGCAAGCAGGAGGCAGTACAGGAACAAGGTACAGTGAATCAGAACAGCACAGCAGGAACCCTCAATGGATACAAGAAATGGACCAAACACTAAATAAAGCATAGTGTCTCCCCAAATTCCAGCATTTGCCCTCTGCCTCTACAGCTTTGCCATTTGCCAGTATCATCTGTATTATAACTTAATAGTTCTCTTCTAAAAAAACTTACCCTCACCCTAAGGGATAAAGAGCTAGTTATAGTTTTCTCTAATCACATTAGAGTAAGACATGTGTTAATGTAACAATGTTTTCCACATTCCATTTGGAATCATCTGGCACCACAGAGGTCCAGTGTCACACTGACACAGGTTGGTTGCTAGGAGACCTGGTTGTGAAGTTTGGTCCTGATTCCAGCCTTATGTCTAGGAAGCCACTGCTTTCCCATCTTACAGGAGAACTAGATGAGCCCCACAGCTGCCCTGCCTAGCTCTGAGTCAAGGTTGACAGATTTCTATGTGGCTCTGGCAAAAGTAGCCACCAAGGTGACTTGTTTGCAGGATCCTAGAAATTCCCAGTTTCTGCTCTTTTGGGGGTAGCTACAAGTGGGGAAAGGGGTAATGCATTTGGAAGCAAAGGAAGTTGGGTAGAAGACAGCCTAGTGTAGAAGGAAGAACACGAGATTTGAACCCAAAAAATATGGCATCTCCATTTAGCAGCCAAGTTTAAGGTTTTTTTTCATTTGTAAAATGAAGATAACCATGCCCCTTTTCCTTAAATTTATACATTTGCTTCTAATTTTCAATCAACCGGAGCTTACAAAAATTCACACACTGATATTCCTAGACTACTCTTGCAAGACCCATCTAAACTTCACACAACTAGTCTATGGATAACATTTGGGCCCTTCGCACTCATTAATAGTTCCATTTTTGGCAATTTTGCAAGTGGAGGCATATTTGTTAAAATGTATTGCATTACCCGCCTTTTTTAGTGATAAATTTTTTTAACTGACACAAAGGACAAACACCAGCAAAACTAGCAGTTCTTAAAGCCTGAGCTGGACTTAAAGCTGGTCAAATGTGTGCTCATAAAAGACTGGCGGCAGCCTATGGAAAAATACAAGTAGGTACATTTGGATGACAGCACATAAATCAGAAGGCCAAAAACATAAGGTCTGTGCATTTTATTGTGTGTAAACCATATCTAAAACATACCTCAATTTCAATATAGCAAAAGTAAACCAGAAAAGCAGGGGGAAGTGAGCACAAATGCAGGGGACAGGTTCTCGAATTATGAAGTTGAATCAAGCTTCCTGCCAGCCAAAGCTAAAAGGATCTACTAACAGATTCTTGCTGCAGAGCCCTATATGTAAACAATTTCTCCTTAGGGCCTTCAAAGAGGGACAGTATCCTTGAGGACAGAGTGGCAGTATGTACATTAGCATCTTTCCTAAGACCATCCCCAACTGCATATGTCAATGTTAACCTGACTGGACGTTTCTGCAGCAGGTGTGGGGTGGGCAGGCAATGTTGATCAAATGAGCAGTTGGAGAAGCAAATGAGATGAAAAAGAGCTCAGTGTATCGAATCAACTGGGTGCATGAGAACTGGAGAGGCCTGGATACTGAGCCTTAGGCAAGGGGTTCGGAATTGACTTCCTAGTGTAACTAATCTAGCTAAACCAAAAGGGACTCTGGCATCAGCCCCATCCCAATCCAATTCATAAACAACTGGCTTTGCTAGAGGGAGTACTAACTGCAAAATAACAGCCAGAGCATTCCTGGGCATGTCCACTGAGCCCCGTGTAGCAGAGGCCATGAACTAGACCATTTTCTCCATCTTCGAGTCACAGGATCTCTGAGTTTTAACTGGGCACATGACTACTCAAATAAGAGGCTCTATGTCCTGCTGTCCCTTTCAACAAACAGTGGCCATAGTGGTTTAAGCAACTCCAGGTCATTCGTATCCTTAATAAAAGAAACTGCTTTGTTCTCTCTTTCCCCAGTGGAATGCGGACACAGAGCTGATGAGTCTGCTTTGACCTTGCAGACAAGGACAACAAGCTAGTGGTGGCTAGTGGTGGGAGATTAAAAAAACCCAAGTTCCTGATGACCTTGTAGAGTTAAACCTGCCCTGGACCATCTGACCACCATTGTTCTCTTAAAAGAGAGCTTACACTTCTACTAGGCTCTCTTTGTTACATAGGACTCCGGCAAGTCCCTAGAAAAGTCAACTCTCAATTCACATCAGCAAACGGGTCAGAAAATGACATCCATAAACTAAGCTGGCCTCCTACTCTTCTAGGAGGTGAAGCACATCCCTGAGCAGAGCAAGAGTCCTTTATTGCAGCACAGCCCAAACACAAAATGAGCCTGCCCTCTGGCCTAGGCCAAATCCACAATAATTGGAGATTCAGACGACTTTTCCACCAAGGCCAGGCAGGGACACCCCTGTCCTACCTCTGCCCCTACAGCAAGAGAGCTCCAAGCTTCTCCACTCTTCATAATTACCGACCTGGAGGACAGGCCAAGTCCAGTAAGGCAGGGAGTGAAACAGCTGTCAGGGGACTGTGTGTGAGGGTCAGGGAAGGGGGGTCTGGAGCCCCAGAACACAAGCCACAGCTGGGAACTGGAGGAGAGAAGCCTGGGTTTCTGAGACCCAGGGCCCTGAGGGTGTAGCACCTGCTCCTCCTGTGAGTCCCTTAGTGACGGAGCTCAACCATGCAGCTGCCAGTCACTAACGAATCCCAGCCACCGGCACCTGCTGCTGCTTGCGAATCTTGTTGAAGAGTTCCATGTACTGGACCATGGTATCTGCGGGGCCGTAGACTGTGTCGTGTCTGTTGCCAAACACTGCGGGAGCCCCTGGCGTGTGGCCGCCTAGAAAACTCTGTAGGAATTCGAGCAGCAGGCTCCAGCAGTCACTAGCTACCACACACGGGCCATATTCCACCTGGGACCAAAGGAACAGAGAATGAGGTGAATGCAGGTAAGGATGAGGACTTCTGTTTCCCTTTCACCTTCTACCCTTGCTCCCATCTTCCCTAACCCCAAGCCAAAGACACACACCTGCACAGGAAATATTCAAGCCGAGCACGGTATCTGGTTCCATGTGAGAACCCAGGGTCCCTGACTCATACTCATATAGGGGATCGATAGGGTGCAGAGTGGACACATATGCTCACAAGTCTCTGCAAGACCAAATATTACTCCCAGGTACACCCAGCCTGGGCTCCAACCCTGAGAAATAATTTCCTGATCAATGTAGCAGGGGCCACAGGACACACATCTTTAGCTTTCTCACCGGGGAAATCACTGGAAACCAAAAGGAGAAACAGCACAGAAACAGCGGGGTTACGTTTGTACTACAAAGTTGGAAATGTGGAAGATAAACACTGGGTTCCCCGTGGGTCTCAACAAATGCAAGGTGTCTCTCAAGCTGAAAAGGGCCAGGAAACCTTGGCCCTCAAGTACCCTGGAGTTTTAGAGCAGTAACACACTAATGCCCCATTCTCTGCTGGGGCCACCTTTTAGGACTTGGCCATCCCCATGTCTCCTCATTTGAGTCCCTCCTTAAATGCTGGTCCTGAAGGAGGCTCACATCCAAGTCACAGTGCTCTCACTGGCACAGAGTCCCCAAGCAATCTGTAGCATTTCTCACAGACTGACTTCAAAATGGTCTGTGTTCCGGCCCTGCTTTTGTAAAAAGCAGGCCCGGCAGCTTACGTATTTTTTTTTTAATCTCACACAGTGCTGGGCAGATTGTGGATTACCACTGGTCCTAAAGCCAGCTGCCTGTCACACTCCCTCTGTCATTTTCAGTCCATCCCTCAACGATGAAATCATCACACGTACCCTTTCCACCAGGAAAGTGGATAGCGTGGCGAAAGGAAAGGCACACCTTTGCTACGCAACTTTTGAGACCCATCTTACAGCACACTGAGGAGAGGTGTGCACCCACCTCCCAAAGTTAACTGCACCGAAAGTTGACCTGGTCGGCTCCAATCCTTTTGTGAAGGATGACTGGTCCCTCACAGAATTTGCCTGCCTCCCTTGGTTATCCCTTCCCTTTTCCAGCAAGCCAGCCTTTCTAAGCTTTCTACCTGCTGTGAACCCAGCTTCCAATTTCCATCCTGGTCTAGAGTCTCCAATGACAATGGACAGGGGAAAAGGTGCAGGTGCAGGAGTCAGGTCGGCATAAACACCGGTTTGCACTCAGAGGGACGTGGAAATCTGCAGTGCCCTCTGCTGGGCAGCTCCTTCAGCACATCCCGCTCCTAAGCCACCAGGGTCTTACCTCCACAGAGATGCCTCGGGCACTGGGCCCCATTGTGACCGTGCCCACCTTCACTAGGAAGTCACAGTACTGGTAGCGGGTGCCCCGGGTCTCGATCTTGCTGGCCTTGGCGTTCTGGAAGAAGCCCTTGAGCTTCACCATGAGCACGTCGAAGTTGGTGTCGGCGATAAGGCAAGGGCCGTTCTCAAAGAGGGCAAAGCAGCTTAAAGGGTGTTCCGAATTGTGCATCACATACATCAGCTTCCCGGTCTGACCTGCAGGGACAGAGATCCTGCTCAGCACTGACATCTCGTCAGCAAACCCCAGACTAGAGGCAAATCAGGAACAAGGCCAGATGGCAGCCCGTTCTGAAGAATAGCATGTGACAAAATGTACCCGCTTGACAGACAATGGTGAGGGGCACACAGGGAACTCGCCGGCGTTAATAGCAGTTGAATTTTTAAGGTGAGTGACAGGGTCACAGATAGATAATGATGATGATTTACTCTCAGACTTTACATGTAGTCTTTTATACAATCACTAGAAGCCCAATGCACAAAGATTCGTGCTAGATGGGCTGTCCTTTTCCTGGGTGCCAGCACCGCCTTTCTGCTCCGGCCCAGGCCCTTTCGGCTCAGGGTCTAGAGGGGCCTCTTTGCACTCCAGCCCCGCCTTCCCACACTGCCCAGAGGCCCTGAGAAGACTGGGTGGGGCAGAATGACTGTGTCATGGCTATGGCAATGGCACAAGTGTCCCGCCCACCCCCTCACTTAAGGACTGTATGCAAATTTTAACCACCATCTTTGTTGGGTTAATTTGCATACAATTCCTGATTGGCTGGTGGCATAGCAGAAGTACGGTCAATTTACATGTTCATCTATTATTAGGTATGACTAGAGGCCCGGTGTATGGGTGGGGTCCAGCCCACCCACCTTAATGGGCCCAGCGGGCAGAAGGGGAGGAGACAAGGGATATTGGCAGGTCGACCTTGCCAATTGGGGTGGGGGAGTGATCAGGGCCAGGGTCGGCAGGGGGAGGGGCTATGGGCAGTTGGCAGTCAGCCTCGCCACCTGGTTGAACTTCCAGTGGAGGGGACAATTTGCATATTAACCTTTTATTATATAGGACAGGTCACATAACAAGGAAGATGAAATAACAGCATTTCAATATGCCAAATGAAGCAGATGCTCTCTTCTGTCCACTCCTACCTTCCTTGGCCTCGCCCTCTTTGATATATAAGAGGCCCCAGAGACACAGCAAAGGGGAGTATCTGAGCATGAGGCTAGGAAGACAGACCACAGCCAAGCAGTGCTACATCTTGTCTTCATGCTCACGAAGCCTGGACTCCATTCTAAAGGCAATGGTGAAGCCTTGGACAATTTTAAGCCATCAGCCAACTTGGGAAGCTAGCATGCATGACAGCAGAAAGAGCTCAGCATCTGAAATCCAAAGGTCTAGTTTCTCATTGATTACTATAGATTTTCTGCAAGAAGGAAGCGAAGTTATATATTTATATATACTAGAGGCCCGGTGTGTGAAATTCATGCACCAGTGGGGTCCCTCGGCCTGGCCTGTGGAATCAGGCTGAAACTGGCTCTCCGACATGCCCCGAGGAATCCTGGATTGCAAAAGGGTGCAGGCCAGAATGAGGGACCCCACCAGCACACTATTGGGGTCAGGGAAGGGAGCAGGAGGTTGACCAGCTGGAATGGACCACAGGAGGGCTCCAGGGCATGTCCAGCCTGTCTTGCTCAGTCTGATTGGCCAAATCCAAGGAGCAAGCAAACCTACCAGAGTGTCTGCCCCCTGGTGGTCAGTGCATGTCACAGCGACTGATCAACAGGTCAACTATCTGCCCCCTGATGGTCAGTGCATATCATAGCAAGCAGTTGAGCAACCTTAGCATACCATTAGCTTTGATTGGTTGAACAGACAAGAGAACACACTTAGCAAATTAGGCTTTTATTATATAGGGTGTGTGTGTGTGTGTGTGTGTGTGTGTGTGTGTGTGTGTATGTGTGTGTGTGTGCGCACGTGCACGTGCACACAAGCGCGTGTGTGTGTATTTGTTAAGTGGAAAATGGAAGAAGGCAAATGGAAAGGAATATTTCCTCATAAGTACAAGAGTTAATGGATAAACTGCCACAATCTCAAATACTTATATTTATTAAGTACTTAAATTATTCCCAACATTGCCCTAGGGTTTAAGAAGCATACATGTAGAGGACTTAGCCTCGGCCTCAAGAAGCTAATAATCTCACTAGGGATAGATTAAAAACTTTAGGACCGAAGCTAGGATACAAAGAGAGGGCAGGACATGGAGTGTGCACCAGTGGTGTCCCTCAGCCTGGCCTGTGGATTTGGGGTGAAACTGACATTCTAGGTAATGATGAAAGAGAGAAGGGGGTGGGGACCTGGCTGCCACTTGCTGAACACAACAGGTTCTGCAAAAACTTCCCTGCACATCCCTTCTGACTGCCTTTCACCTCCTAAATTCACTTTAAACACTTCAACCCTCAAAAAGACATCCAAAGTTGATCTGTCATTATGTTCTTGTGCAAACTCACTGTAATAACATAATTCATTTGAGTCTGCAAGTATTCTTACTGTCTTAAAAATGTTATGAAAGTCAACAAAATGAAAAATGGAAGAAGGCAAATGGATTATGGGTCCCAGACCACCACCACCACCACCACCACCACCACCACATGGAAGCTTGTTACAGATGCAAATTATCCACCCACCCCAGACCTACTGAGTCAGAAAGTCTGGGAGAGAGGCCCAGCGACCTGTGTTAACAAGCCCTCCAGGTGATGCTAAATGCTGGTCAGTGTGAGAAATGCAGATCTAAAGGCACAAAGCCAGGAAGCAGCAAAGCTGGAATTCCAATTAGGCTTTCTGACCTCAACTTTATTGCTCTTTCCATTCTACCAACTACCTGTCAAGAATGATTTCTCTCTAACTGGACTGTAGTTCCTTAAAAACAAAGGTCTGATCAGGAAGAAAATAGCCCACACCAGGTAATTTCATATAAGTAGTGTGTCTGTATATATATACAAACCGGAGGCCCAGTACATGAATTTGTGCACCAGTGGGGTCCCTCAGCCTGACCTGCGGGATCGAACTGAAACTGGCTCTCCAACATCCCCCGAGGGGTCCCAGATTATGAGAGGGCACAGGCCAAGCCGAGAGACCCCACTAGTGCACTATCAGGGCTGAGAGGGATGCAGGGCATGTCTAGCCTGTCTTAGTCCCAATCGGCCAGACCCCAGCAGCAAGCTAACCTACGGGTCGACTGCCTGTCCCCTGGTGGTCAATGCATATCATAGCAACTGGTTGACGAGTTGATTTCCCCCCTGGTGGTCATTCCATGTCATAGCGAGCAGTTGAGCCACCTTGGCATATCATTAGCATATTACGCTTTGGTTGATTGAATAGGTGACCGGATGACTGGACACTTAGCATATTAGGCTTTTATTACATAGGATGTTTTATTTTCCAAATGCTTTCATAACCATTATATCTCTTGATTCTTGTCCTTCCTACTGAAGGCAAAACAATGGTTAACACTGTAATTTTACAAATGATGAAACTCAGTATAGCTCTTAGCTACCGCTTATTAAAGGTTCATTACAGCTGAAACTGGTTTGGCTCAGTGGATAGAGCGTCGCCCTGTGGACTGAAAGGTCCCAGGTTCGGTTCCGGTCAAGGGCATGTACCTTAGTTGCGGGCACATTCCCAGTAGGGGGTGTGTAGGAGGTAGCCAATTAATGATTCTCTGTCATTGATGTTTCTAACTCTCTATCCCTCTCTCTTCCTCTCTGTAAAAAAATCAATAAATATATACATATTTTTAAAAAAGGTTCATTACATGACAACCTCAGTTCTTGTGCTTTGCATGTATTAACTTATTTAATTTAATAAGTACTATACTAAACTTAATTTTAGGGTGCAAAAACAGAACTCTCACCAGACAGTTTCATTGGGGGTGAGGTGGTGGTGGTGGGGGCGGGGATTTAATACAGGGAACAAAATACAGGGGATAAAAAACTAAAACACCACATGGAATGATGATGTTATTCAAAAATTAGCAACACAATCAGCCATTATCATCCCTAAGCCTGGAAGGAAATGGATAGAGATGTGCTGATATTAAAGCCATGAGCAAAGGCTGCCCAGCAGGAGCTAGAACCAAGAACACAGCCAGAGACACTGCCTGAGGGAGAGACAAACTGTGGTCTCCCTTTCTCCTGTCCTCTGATCTTCCCCAGTGCCTTTGCAGGAGAAGTCCAGGGAATGGATCTATGGGGAAATGGGAAAATTACCAGCATAGAAACGGCTGCAGGTTGTGGGACTTACCTATGTGTGGTTAGTACGTGGCAGAGCTAGGATTCATTTACCTGATTCCATGTCTAGACTCTGAATCACTGTGCTATGGAACTGTCAAAGGGGAAGTTACTGCAGAACCCAGATTCCCCAACTCATATTCAAAGATCCTCTTCGCCTCCTTACCATCACCACCACCACTATCCACAGCCATCTCATCTTGTAATACATTTAATACAAAAGGTGATTCATCAGTCAAGGTTATGCTAACAAGGCAGCCAAAGCCACTGTGCAGGTGTGGCAAACAGGAAGCCTTTCTGCAAACAATTCTAGAAACTCTAAAACTCTACTAGAATCCCATACAAAAACATCTGAGCTTAAAGGAGTCTTTCTCAAACTTAAGAGTGCATAAAGGGAGGCTCGTTAAAATGGAGATTATGAGGCCCACAACACCAGTCAGTCCGAAAGCAGAGCCAGGAAATTGTATCTTTAACAAGTAGCCAAGATGATTTTGATGAAGTTAGTAACCAACCCTCCGAGAAGCACTGCTTTAAAAATGCAAAGTGCAAAAAGACTAAAACATGGGCCAGGTCGAAGATGAAGGATCAAGAATTAATGAATTGCCGACACCGGTGTGGCTCAGTGGATAGAGCATTGGCCTGCAGACTGAGGAGTCCCAGGTTCGATTCCAGTCAGGGGCAAGTCCTCTGGTTGCGGGCACAACCCCAGTGGGGGCTGTGCAGAAGGCAGCTGATCGATGTTTCTCTCTCATCGATGTTTCTAGCTTTCTATCCCTCTCTCTTCCTCTCTGTAAAACATCAATAAAATATATTTTAAAAAAAACAAAAAACAATGAATTAAGCCCTACCTGGTTTGGCTCAGTGGTTAGAGTGTTGGCCTGGTGACTGAAGGGTCCCAGGTTTGATTCCAGTCAAGGGCACATGCCTGGGTTGTGGGCTCGATCCCCAGTAGCGGTGGGGGGAGGGGAGGCTTCAGGAGGCAGCCAATCAATGATTCCCTCTCATCATTAATGTTTCTCTCTCTCTCTCTCCCTTCCTCTCTTAAATCAATAAAAATATATATATAAAAAAAAAATCTACACTAGCCAAAACCAGTCTGGCTAGTCAGTAGGGGTGTCGAACTCAATCAGAGAAGGGGCCAAAATCTAAAATCCAGCCTAAATCGCGGGCCGAATGGTTTACTGAACAGTCATAAACTGACAATGTTAACCAGAAATGTGAATTTAAAATGAGTGGAACAATCTTTTCCTTAACAGTGCTGTTAACCAACTCACATGCTATCAAGGATTTGGCCCGCGGGCCTTGTGTTTGACACGTGTGGGCTAGTGGATAGAACATCAGCCTGTGGACGGCAGGGTCCCAGGTTTGATTCTGGTCAAGGGAATGTACCTTGGTTGCGGCAGCTGATCAATGTTTCTCTCTCATTGGTGTTTCTGGCTCTCAATCCCTCTCCCTTCCTCTCTGTAAAATATCAGTAAGATAGATAGATAGATAGATAAATATATATATATAGATATATATATAGATATATATATAGATATATATATATATGGTTTAAAATCTACACTAATAAAAGAGAATCACGCAAATTAACCATCACTCCACTACACTAAGCCATGCCCACCAGCCAATCAGGAGCAAGTGTGCAAATTTACCCAACCAAGATGGTGGCTGGCCACCGAGCTAGAGCAAGCAGGTTTGGGTTTCCCCCAACAATAGAGGAAGCCAAGCTTCCCACCCGCCCTGGCTGGCCCTGGCTTCTGCTCAAAGCTACAAAGTTTCAATTATAGAAGATAAATAAATCCCAACAAAAATGGCAGTAGCCCCAGAGCTAGAGAGAGCAGGAGGCTTGGGTTGCCCCCAGCATTGGAGGAAGCCAAGCTTTCTGCCAGCCCTGGCTGGCCCTGGCCTCCACTCAAGGTTACAAAGTTTCAATTATAAAAGACAAATAAATCCTAGATACTTGCTTCCAGCTGGCCCTGGCCTCCGCTGAAGGAGGCGTTGAAAAAGAAAAAGAAAAAGGAAAAGGGAAAAGAAAAAGGAAAAGGAAAAGGAAAAGGAAAAGGAAAAGGAAAAGGAAAAGAAAAAGAAAAAAGAAAAAGAAAAATAGGAGGGGCTGGGACCTTGGGTCCCTGGAGAGTGATCAGGCCAAGATGGAACTGCAGGGGCTGTTGGTGGTAAACTGATCAGCAGGGGGCCCATCAGTGGGGGTGAGTAGGCCATCAGTGGGGGTCAGTTGGAGGTGATCAGGACAGCGGGGGTGGGGGCACAGTTTGGAGTGAGCAGGCCAGCAGGGGGGCAGTTGGGGGTAATCAGGCTGGCAGGGGGCATTTGGGGGCAAGCAGGTAGGCAGGTGAGTGGCTGGAGCCAGCAGTCCCAGATTGTGAGAGGGATGTCTGACTGAAGGTTTAGGACCGATTCCTGTAAACCAGCAGTAGGACATCCTTCGAGGGATCACAGATTGGAGAGGGTGCATGCTGGGCTGAGGAACACCTGTGCACAAATTTCATGCACCAGGCCACTAGTGTGTGAGTGTGTGTGTGTGTGTGTGTGTGTGTGTATTAAAAAAAAAAAAAAAGAATAAATTCAGAAACACATCTGCCACATGTTCAAGAATATCACTCTTAGAAGAAGATATCAGTGAACATAAATGTCTATCAACTCCAAGCCAGGATGCAGCCATCCCGCAGACACATCTCACTGACCTTGGCTGCCAAGGGTAGAAGCAGCCGTGTGATAGGTCTCACAGTCTACACAAAATGTTCCTTGCTTCTCTGCCCCAAGCATCTCCAATTTCCGGGTGAGGAGCTCCACGGTCTGCTGGACACTCTTGCCCTCGGCCACAGGCATCTGGGACACACTGGAAGGGAGAGAATCAAATCGTCAGTATCCAGAGACATGAGCACTGGCTGAGCCATTCTATCTCCCACGGAATCACAGCTCACCAGGACCATAGAGACCACCTACTGCGACCCCTTTATTTTAAAGATGCGGAAATAAGAGACCTACAGTCCCTAAGAACACAGATCTCGTGATTCTCTCACAACAGCGCAGTGAACGTCCTATCACACCAGAATTTCCTAAGCATGGCAGGTGCACCAACATTCAAGAGAAGATTTTAGGAGACACATAGACAACCCTTGACAACACTGTCGCGTAATGAGTTTCCTTCACAATTATTTCAGTTCTGACTATATCAAGGAGATAACCTTAACGTGAGGTATGTTTATCCCAACTCTTAACACTCCCAATGTGTGTAGCCAGTACAGTAAACCACAAGCCACACGTGGCCATTTACACTTAAATAAGAATGTAATCCAAACAATGAAACAAAAAGATGTTATTTCAAAGACTTCCTTCTATGGCAAGTAAAACTAGCTTCCTCTTTAGAGTGGTAGGTTAGTAACAGTCCCAAGCCCCAACTATATGCCAGACAGTGTCCAAAAGCCTTGAGATAAATAAACTATTTGAATCCTCACAATGGCCTTAGGTGTGCTATTATTTATCTCCTTATTACAAACGAGGAAACTGAAATACAGAGCGGTTGACTTGCACAAGGTCACACAGCTTGGTGTGGTGTAGCCAAGATTCAAAATCAGGCAAATTGGCTCTATCCGTGTCCTTAACTCCTATAGTAGACTACTTCCCTAGGGACATAATTAAAATACTTTTAATAGATTTAAACGGAAACATTAACAAATACTAGCACATGTACGTACTTAGCTATGTAAAAATCAAAAAGATGGCATTTGTGAGTGAATTCGGGGAGACACTACATTACTTGATAATCAACCAACCAAATGAAGCTATAAAGGTGGAGTCCTAATTGTTGCTAAAAATTGTCACCACTCTCCTTCAAAAAAGTACTAATAAGGAATGATGATGATGTACCTTATTTTGAAACATAAGAACATTCTTAAAACGATGCTACTGGGGTGAGAAGTGCGAGGAGTCTGAAAAAGTTGACGAGGATCCTAACAGAGAGCTCTTCCCCTCGGTCTGCCTTCTCTACCGAGAGAAGAAGGGCTTCCAGGACTCCAAGCCTCCGTGCTGCACACTTGCCATTCCCGTCGCCCACACATCCCCCTTACCCTGGGAATCAGAGGAGGCCGGTGGTGTCAAATATAGTAAACACAAACGCAATCACTGACAAACTGGCAAGAGCCTGTGCCAACAGGAGGTTCCACAGGCTCTGACCCGGGAAGCCTAGAGTCAGACTTCAGATAGCCTGGCCTCCAGGCCTCTCTGATTGGAAATGCTTACACTTACTGCTGTTAAAAAAAAAAAAAAAAAAAAAAAAAAAAAAAAAAAAAAAAGGCTCTGAAATCTAGCATTTTGGAACTAATGACTCCAAGAGCATATCTTTCCCTATCACCCTGACTTACAGTGAGTTAGAGATTTTAGAAGTTCACAGAAACAACACAAATCATGTAGAAAACAGGTCCTGAAGAAGTGATGTGCCTAAAACTCAAATCTCCTCATTCCCAATAGCCCTCCCCTGACCCCCAAACCGAAGACTTTAAAATGAGCAAGCTAGAAATTGAAATAGACTGGTCTAACTACATTTAGTGGCTGGAAGGAGAGACAGGGTGCAAACCTAAAAAAAGATACTGTCTCCTCTTTGCCTAGCCCTGCCTGCTGATGAGTTCTAGCCCACACATCCTCTTCCCGACCCTGAGGTTCCAACCCCGGCCTCACCGGCGGGAAGATGTGCCAAGAAAACGGGAAGGAGGCACCCAACCACTGATGGGTTCCTAGGATAAAACCCAGAAGGAAAGGGGCGCATCTCCAAGGAGCCAGGCCCGGAGACTCCACAGCCCTCCCTCACGGTGTCCCCGCACCCACACAACCCGAAGACACGGTGCTCAACTCCCGAGGGACGACAGACCCGAGCCCGACACTCCTCCAGGGTGCACTCCGGGCTCCGAGGGCCCTTCACGACCCCAAGTCCAGCCCCACAGTGTCCCCTGCGGCCCTACCAAGTCACTCCCATGATGTCAGAGCAGGAGGATGGCAGGACCAAACAGCTGAAACGCAGAGCTTTCCGGCCGCGCACAGTTAGTGAAGCCCCCTAACGCAAGCTGCGGTGGAGGGGGTGGAGCGGGGGGGGGGCGGGGGGGCGCTCCGGAAGTGACGTAAAAACAGAGCGCCCAGTCGACGCACCACGAGGAACAGGGGCGTGTCTAGGCGCCTCCTCTGTGACGCCTTTCTTGGTATCACCGCCCAGCTGCTGCTCCCAGGCTGGCAGCACCCTGGCCTAAATCCTCCAAGGTTAGGGAAAACAACGTTTGATGCACAGAGTTCATCTGGGAGTCTAGCAGCTCCAGCACCCGCGAGTTCTTAGCTGGCGGGGCGTCGCTGATGGCACCGCCGGCCTCCGAGCGGTAGGGGGCGCTGTGCTTCTCGGTGGCCTCTTGGGAACCGGGAGGACCCAGCGCAAACGCACTCAGGACACCTTCTGCGTCTCCACGTGTGAACTTTCCCGGCAACTTTTTGAGAAGAAAAGAAAAAATGCCCAAATTCAAGGCGGCCCGCGGGGCCGGGGGCCAGGAGAAACACGCTCCCCTTGCCGAGCAGATTCTGGCCGGGGACGCGGTGCGCGCCGGGGCCCGGGAGAAGCGGCGCGGGCGCGGGACCAAAGAGGAGGAGGAGGAGTACGTGGGGCCCCGGCTGACCCGGCGGATTTTGCATCAGGCGCGGCAGCAGCAGGAGGAGCTCGAGGCCGAGCATGGCACTGGGAGCCGGCCCGCGGCGCCCCGGGAGCGCATCACGCGGCTGGGTGAGTGGCGGGATGGGTGCGAGAAAGAGGGAGGTTAGGAGAGGATGGACGGGCATCGGACGAGGGAATAGCTTGGGATAAAAAGGGTCCGTAGTACTCCCTTAAAGAGGTACTGCAGTGGGAGGCTCAGCCCTGGAGCGGATGTAGGATAGTCAAAGCCCTCTCTTCTAGGTACCCCTGAGGTTGGGAAACAGGAAGTGATTGCCGGCACCACTAAGTTCTAGTATTTATCCATCCATTTGCCCTGTAAATACTTACGGGATGTCTCCTAGAGCTTGGTACGGTGTTAGAAGTCTAGATCTAGTTTGGATCAAGAGGTAAACGAGGTAGACATGCGCCTGACCTTAGGTTACAGACAGTAGACAATGAGAGAATAGACAGTAGACAATGAGAATAATACATTCCATGGAAAAGTATAATAGATTCTCTGGTAACAACAGCATTGATCTTGGGGATCGGGCTCCCCAGATTGCATGACCTTTGTGCTGAGCAGAAAGAACAATATTTTTTAGGGGCCACAGAGGCAGTGAGGGTGAGTAAAAGATGATGAACATTTTCTTAGGGTGGGAGTGTTGATTCCTATCCAGCTCTCAGATCTCTTTCCTTGGTCCTGGCACAATTGAACATTGGCCTCCTGGCTGTGGTATCTTTACTGGCTTCCAAGACTTCACATTCCTGTGCTACACCTTACCTCTCAGTAGCCTTTGCTGGCTCCCTTTTGATCCCCAATCTCTCTCTTTTTAAAAAAAATATATTTTTATTGATTTCAGAGATGATGGGAGAGGGAGAGATAGAAACTTCAATGATGAGAGAGAATCATTAATTGGCTGCCTATGCAGGCCCCCTACTGGGGATCCAAGCCCACAACCCAGGCATGTGCCCAGATAGGAATCAAATCCTGACTTTCTGGTTCATAGGTCAACACTCCACCACTGAGCCACACTGGCCAGGTGACCTCCCCCACCTCTTATGAAACGTCACAGGGTTCAGTCTTTGGACCTCTTCCCTTCACACACTTCTCTGGTGTTGTCATCAGTTTTGTGGTTTAAACACCACCTATTTGGTGACCGCTGTCAACTGTATATTCTAGCCTTCATTTCTTCCATGAAACCTAGATTATTCAGTTGCCTACTTGGCTTATTACAGTAGCATCCTCATTAATATCCCATACCTCCTACAGTCCACTCTAAACTCAACGGCTAGAGAATTACAGTGGTTTGCAAATTCCTATATGATCGGCTCTCATTGCCAGTCCGACTTCTACTTTCCCCTTTTCACTCCACCCATATCGGCTTAAACATGATAAGCTAGGGCCTTTTGCCCAGGTTGCTCCTGTCCTCATACACCTGTAGGCATACTCTCTCAATTCTTCACCTTCTCGGCCTGTTATGCAAAGAGCTGAGATCCGAGGAAGATAACCCAGAAGACTAGCACTTACTGCACACGGCGGTGGCCCACTGGTAAAGATTTCCCCCAGTATGGGGTTGTGTGGAATACAGAGAACAGGGCCTGAAGGAGAGACTGCTCAAGAACAAGCTCTATAAGATCAAAACACTAGTAGTTTACAATCGGGCTCACTCCCAAGACCCGTTTCTGTTTGGCTGTTTCTTGACTGAGAAGCTGTCCAGGCTCCTAAGGTTGCTCCTTCAGTCCGATTACAGGTGGCCTTCATCATATTCCCACAGGGGCAGAAGGGGGTTGGAGCTCGGGAAGGGACCGGATTACCACACACCTTCCCTGACTACTTCATTAAAAATTGCAACACCCCCTCCCTGGCCTGGTGGTTCAGTCGGTTGGAGCGTAGCATTGTTCCATATACCAAAAAGTTGCAGGTTCGATTCCTAGTTAGGGCACATTCCTAGGTTGTGTGTTTGATTCTGGTCGGGCTGGGTACTAGAGGTAACTGATTGATGTTTCTCTCTCCCTTGTTTCTTCTCTCTCTAAAATCAATGGAGGGCATGTCTTCTGGAGAGAATTAAAAGGAAAAAAAGAGAGAGAAAATTTCAACACCCCACCCCTATCTTTACAGTCCCAACTTCTCTATTCTGCCCTATCGCTTTATTTCATAGCACTTGTCTTTTAACCTATCATGTTATATTTATTGTCTGTCTTCCCTCATTAGAATATGAGCTCTATAAGGGCAAAAGGTTTTGTTTCTCTCATTCACTAGTATAGAACATATACCAGCACTCAGTGTTTGCTCAATGAATGGATTAATGAATGATGGTGAGGTGGGTGGGAACCAAATCTGCAAAAGACTTGGAGGCTGTACCCAGGATTTAGAGCTGTCATAAAGACAGTGAAAAACTGTTGGAGAACATGGAGACCAGTGAGGGCACCGTTTAATTAGTCCAAGCAAGAAATGATGCTGATCTAGGCTAGGAGTTGCGAAGGATTTGAAATATTCTCTGAGGTAGAATTGGATCGGCTTTAGTAACTGCGTGTTGGGGATGAGGCAGGCCTGCCTGCCAGGTTCTAGCTTAGCATGGGGTGGACGGTGGTGCTGTGTACTTAGAGGTAGAGCACAGTGAGCAGTATAGACCTAGGAGGAAAAGAGAGTGAGCTTGGCTGATACAGGTGAAGTTTGAAGTTCTTGTGAAGAGCAACTGTACAGGCGGCAGCTGGAGTTACGGTCTGGAGTGAAGGGACATCTACATCCAAGTATAGGTTTGGGGGTTGTTAGCACGTGGAGACAAAACACCTTCGCCACATCACCACCACCCCCCCACCCCCCCCACCACCACCATTTAGCTTTTATCACATATTTCCTTTTGTTAATAACCTGTTCATATGCAGCAACTCATCTCCCCGATTGGAGTACGGCATTCCTTACCAGATGCCCAATCAGCTGTGGCCTTCCGGGAATCAGTTCTTCAGTGGGTTGGTCCTTTGGAATCTGAACTACACTGCCTGGGTTCACTTTACCCATCCAGCCGTGTTTTCTGCTGCTGCTTAACAGACAATCTTGTAACCAAGCCCTTTTGCCGGTGTTGTAACCCAGGTTTGGACCACACTCCAGCTGCACCCATGCTCCCTGTCCAGACTTGAACCATCGTTGGCAGTCATCACCTTCTAAGTGCCTACGGTATATACTGCCTCTGCCACTCATTTGGCATATAACTAAGTCCACCCATGTGTGTAGAATATGGGTAAAGAATGCACAGTCTAGCCGAAACCGGTTTGGCTCAGGGGATGGAGCATTGGTCTGCGGACTGAAGGGTCCCAGGTTCGATTCCGGTCAAGGGCATGTACATTGGTTGTGGGCACATCCCCCGTGGGGGGTGTGCAGGAGGCAACTGGTTGATGTTTCTCTCTCACTGATGTTTCTAGGTCTCTATCCCTCTCCCTATCTCTCTGTAAAAATCAATAAAATGAATTGTAAAAATTAAAAAAAAAGAATGCACAGTCTAGGCCCAGATTACATGCCATAGGCAAATTACTTAGCTTTTCTTGTGCTTTAGTGTTCCCACCTGAAACTGGATATACTAATAAGACCTACTTCTTGGGGTTGTATTGTGTACAGTATTTAGAACAGTTCCTGCTACATGACTGAGCATAATGTGTTAACTATGATATATTGGCATCACTGTGTCATTGGTTCACATAGGTACGTTTTGTTGCTCGAGCAAGATTGTAAGCCCCTGGTACAGGAAGATAGCGTGTGCACACATCTGTATCTATTACAGGCACACGTGAGGCTTACACTGTGCGTGGTGGTTAAAGTTAACTTGACCTCTAAATCCCTCCGCCATCGCTTACCTTTTTCACCCAATCATCGCCCCTCTTCTAGGCCCAGGAGTGCCGCAAGATGGATCAGATGACGAGGATGAAGAATGGCCCACCCTGGAGAAGGCTGCCACGATGACAGGGGCCGGCCACCAAGCAGAGGTGGCCGTGGACCCCGAGGATGAGCGTGCCATTGAGATGTTCATGAATAAAAACCCTCCTGTCAGGTAGGGCTGGCATGGCCTAGAATTTGGGGTAGTGGGTCCTGGATAGCAACATCCCACAAGGAAGCACATGCCCTGGCAGAGTTTGATTTCCGACCTTTGGGAAGGGCCTGGGCGTTGCTAGTTGTAGGGATCCACCTCAACAAAAGTGGCGCGTCCTCAAAAGACCATTCTGAGTGAGAATGACACAGACTCAGAATGCCTCCTCCCCCTCTGTCCACCTCTTCTAGAACTGCTCAGATTACCTGGGAGAATAGCTATCCGACCTTTTTATTTTTCTGGGGAGAAATATCCCATTGCTTTTGGTCTTGGCCTACTCAGTTTTCCTAGTAGCAAGCTCAGTTTCCTTGGCCAAATCTCTTTCGTACCCT